AAACTTTTTGTGTTCACCTGCAAGTTTTGACGAGGCATATCTGAACATGAGATTTTACAGTCATAATTAATTTCCCAGAGATAGTTACAGAGTAATAACCATTTATCTCAAGCTCAGAATAGACATGGACCATGCTCTTCAGTTTAATTCGCAGATTTTCGTCTTTTTTTGGCTGAGCTATCAGTATTATGATATTTTGCCACCTTTTTTGTTGTTTTTGTGTTACACCATAAAGCCTTAAGGTTTTACCCAGTTGTACTGGAGCATTTCTGCAGCATTTTCCCCATTTGTTTAAGTAAATGTATGGAGTGCTTCACATTGGAAGAATCTGCCTTCTCCAAATATGGACAACTTGTTTGTGGTTGAATTCTTGTTTTCTTAGTCAGTTGTGCTTTGTTTTGTGTCATCAGGTTCCCTCGAGCAGACGCCAGTCTGACTAAGAGGTGCAGAGATTATTTTGGTCTATAACCTCCACTCTATTTATTTAAATAACTTAAGTTCCCTTTTTTGACCTGGTAATTCCAAGCTCTGCTGGTCACATCAGTGTCCCAGCAGGTATTCTGTTGTTTCAAGACACGTCTCTTACTGGTTTCGTTTCTGGAGAAACTGAGATCTTTACCACTGCTAATATCTTTTGGCCATTGGTGTCTCTCTTGTCCACTTAAAAGCACTCCTTTAAACAAAAATCTAAACTATGACCTTTTTTACAAAGTAGGAAAATAAAGCCAGGTAGTTACAGGGGAGGAAAAGTATCTCTATCAAAAAATGCTCTTTTTTTTCAAAACAGTTTCTACAGAATTTTTGAAGGAAACTTGATAAGGTTGTGCTGTAGTGCATTAGTGTCAAGGTTTAGAATCTTTGTCTCTGACCATTTTAATCAAGCCAAATGTTTTCTACTCCATCAGCTTGTTCCAGTGCATGTCCTGCCTAAACTGGAGTACCAGTTGAGTTACGGGGTTGAGTGTCTCACCAGGGGTGAGGCATGCCAGCTGTGGACAGAGACCCTGCTCCACTCCAGCACCATTTCATATATAGGTAAATATTTCATCAAGAGCACCTCCATGCTCTGTACATTCACCTGCATGACAGGAAATCAAATTCACATGTTGCATAATATGGTGTATTGTTAACATCAGGCACATCCTTAAGGGAACTTCTCTGTTGCTCAATTGTTTTTTTATTTCCCTTCCCTTCTCCCTCACTTGGTTCACTAAAGGCCATAAGGAGGCACATCCTCCCACATGGCCAATGGAATATTCTTCTCATGACTCATCATCCTGCTGCCTGCGTGTTTAATCTCCGTTTACTCTGTTGCCATAAGAACAGCCACGGTCGATAGTTAGGACTCCACCACAGAGTAGTGTGTGTAGCTCAGCTAAATGCTGTTTATGCCCAGTGAACATTAGCTACCATGTGTAATTTATCTGTAGCCTGGGATTAAAACCAAAGAGCCCCTCCTCCTGGGTGAGTCTCACTGCTTTGTGGACAGGTTTAGGTGTTGCATTAGAAAGTAACTTGCTTCTGTAAGCACCAGTGGTAGAAGAAGAGCGCTGACCATTAGGGCTAGCAGGGGACCAGAGTGTGAACTGACCTTAGACCTTAGACAGTTGACGAGGACACCTTCCTGCTTTATCGGACCTCGTATTGTCTACAGATTATGTACAGTTTTTATGGCAGCAATGAGCACTGATAGAGAGGTTCCTCATTTTCTTGGTGACTTTTGACTCATGCGGTTTATCATGCGGCTCACCCACTTATATATATTTATGGCTGTGTAAGGATTACATGCTTTAAAATAGTCCATAGTTGAAGGAACTCAGAAATAAGAGTGAATAACAAATAAGGATGAAGGGCAAAAAAGGGGAATACAACAGGTACTTTTTTCTCAGCTCACTAGAGTTTGTCAAATCATCAGCCTAATGACTTTGTAAGCTCCAGCAATGACAGATGAGGTGGTGAAGCCCCTGATGTGCAGCATCATTAGAGCTTTTCTCTGCGCCTCTCTCTCTCATCCCCTCCGTCTCTGTCTGCAGCTCACATCAATGCACACTCATCAAAAGTAGCTCTGCTGAGGAAGCTGCCTGTCGACTGGATGCAGAACATTTCCTGTGGGTTCAAGTGAGTGTCATCACCACAGACAGGCAGAGATTTATTAGGATTAACCTAATCTTGTCTCTGATTCATAATGTTTTTTTAATTATTAAGGTTTAAATCTTAGGATTTAGTTTGTTTATCTACAGTATAATCCACGTCTTCTCCTCAGGTTGTCATTGCAACCTGATATTTAAAAAAACAAAACAAAACATCCATCTGTGACATTTGTTTCTCATCCTCAGACCATCCAACTCCCTGAATATCCTGCATCACCTACTAAAAACGTTAACTAGGTAAGTGGTTATGGAACTAACCAGTCGTCTTGGTCTTTTTGATGCTCACTTTCTTCCTTGTTGTTACGGTGGTGTCACTTCTACAATGTTTACATCCTTTTCCATGTTAAACAGGATAAAATGATGTGTAGTACAAATCAAAACCACTCAGTGAAACCTGAGGTCACACAGGTCAACTCTGTAAACAGGTGGTAATTTGTTCACATTAAAGTCATCTGAGGGCCAACTTCACCTTCTGTGATGTAAGAGACTATACTTGAGTGACAGACACATTTAATTAGTGCATAACAAATTGCTTTTTAATAAAATTAGTAAAGGAATAAAGTCGTTGTCATTCACTTTATTGGGGATAAAAATCAAAGACAAAAAAAAAAAAATCAGACAGACTTTAACTCCCAATTGGTCAAAACACATTTGAAAACAGAACATTTTTAAATATAAGGTCATGAAGTTTGAAGCAATTGCTGTGAACGTGTCAGTGTGGGGGTGGGGGCTCCACAGTTTCTTTTTAGGATCCACAGTATGAAGTTAAGAAGGTTGGTGATGTTAGTTATTGAACTTCATTCAATTTAATGTAAAAGGTCAGCAGCCACATTTTACCTCTCCAGTCTCCAGAGTTAGGTGTTCTTTTTTTTTTAATTGCAGCTCATCTTCAGAAAAAATGTCACGTTTTTTTTTTCCACCGCCTCTGGTTAATAATACATTTTTGTATAGTGAAGTCTGACAGCCTTCAGCAAAGTACATGACGCTAATGTTTGTTGAGGTATTACTCAACCGATTACTCCACAAACCTCCTGCCATGCATCACCTCCTACAGTCTTTGTGCTGTCCTCACCTGCGCTCCAGTCGTTTCACGCTGACACATGAGATTACTCACTGCCAACATGTTTCAATATGTTCTGTGCCATTTCCGAATTTAACAAACTCTCCCCGTGACTTCACTCTTTCTGTAGGTTAGACGAAGGACGGTACCTGATTGCACACAAGGCCGGGGAGCCTTTTGTGACCTTATTAAAAGAAGCAGCTCCTGGGAAAGTGAGTCGCGGGGCGTACAACCTTCAGCAGCTCCACGGCTCAGTCCCACAGCCCCCAGCTTCTGGCCTTGTGCCGTGGATACCTCTAGATCCCCTCGTGGTCCTGCCGTTCCACCAAGCACACTGTCGTGTTCCCTGCACCTTTCCTCCAAAGGTGTGTGTTTGTGTGTCTCTGTGTTTGTCTCTGTTGCTACATGTGTGCCATTGTTGAGGATGTACTGCATACACACCTTTTCACATGTACACAAAGCACCTTTGTATATCACACAGGCTGACGTGACAGACATCGGCACAGTTTGACTGCACCTGTCCACAGGCCACAACTATGGAAAACAAAACAATATGAGCAACAACTCTGTCTGATTTGTGTATGTGTGTGTTAGACTCTGACACATCCGACATATGCATGTTTAAAATTCCTCGCAGCGAGAGAAGCAAACAACTGCTTATTAAACAGGTTTTTAGCATTGACTTCTGCTTTTCCCACTCGTCGCCGGCTCCTGAACCGTTCAAACAAACACATTCCTGAACTGCATAGAGTGTTTCTGTGTTTGAATCAAGCACACGGTTATTTTAGAAATAACTGAGTCTTTTTAAATTTTTTTCCAGGCGGCTCGACATGAACCATTTCAACCCAATGACCGTGGATCTGCACAGGCGAAGAAGTGGAATGAAGGAGGAAACAAGTGGAAAAAATGCACAAAACGTACAGCAAGGAGAAACAACTTTATAAAAAAGTTGATTCAGAAGTCGGTGTAAACCACTTTATTATAATATTTAAATATAGCACTGTTTCAGTCTAAATCATCTATTAAATCCAAAAGAAAATAATTTATATAGTATTTTTCCCAGATTGTTTTTCTATATTTTTATATTTTTGAATGTTTTGTTAAGAAGAGCAGAAATAAACCTCGTTTGTATTCATGTGTTTATTTTTAGCAGTAAAGTTTCAACATAATGTTCTATTAGTTGCGTAAAGTGAATGAAATGAAGCTCTCAGTCTGTGTTGGGAGTGAGACTGGGTGGAGTCTTGAGTGGGTAGAGAGGGGAGTGAACCACAGTCAGGGGCGGTGAATGAGGAAGCCCTTTTTCTCCGTCTGACAACTTCAACCTTCACACCCATCGCACTTCACCATCTGGACAAATCTGTTCCACCTCTACCTGTTCTACTTGGGTAAGTTCATGTGTACATGTTTGTCTGGAATAACTTATAAACTTAAAAGTTATCTACAATAGATATGAACTTCAAAGTTTAAGGATTAGTACCATTATTTTTTTTGCACTTATGTTTACTGCATTTGTGTCACTTTTTAAGTTTAGTTTTTCAAATATTCTTAACATGAATTGGTTTTTTTTCTCTTTCCAAAATCAAAAATAGGTCTAAATATGCACAATCTGTACAACTCTTGTTATACCGACAGGACAGGAATGAAGTAACACTTTCCAGGGTGTGTCTCCTACAGGGTTGTAGTCAGACTGTATGAGGATTTGAAAATGAGTTCACATGAACTCTCTGAATGCTTTCTAATAATGATGTGGCAGTAGCTTGTACAAGAACACTGAATAAAAAAAAAAGCAGCATAGAAAACATTGTGTTGATGAATCAGTTCAGAGACTGTGCTGCTGTTTAACCAACATTTCCCTGAAGCTGGGAGTGATTAATTCTTCAGACAGGACAAACAACTTAATTGATCTTGAGTGCATTTGATCAGAAGTGTTGACATGTTTGTTGACCTTTTACAGAGTTGTAACAATGGCTATGGTAGCAGAGTTTCTTGGACAGCTCACCATCAACACTGGGGTAACAACATTAGATTTTCCATTCTTTTTGTTTGTTTGTTTGTTTTCCACATTATCATTATTTATATCTCACACCTCCTCAGGTTGATGAACCCAAGTTTCCAACTGTTCTAGCTGCTCGGGACTTTGACCCAGACAAAGATGCTGCCAGAATAGAGACAGCTATCAAAACCAAAGGTAAGGCACAAAGCTCAGCAAGAAAAAAAATCACTGCGAAAAAAAATCACTGCGCCCCTCCCTCTCCCTCTCTCTCTCTCTCTCTCCCTCTCTCTCTCTCTCTCTCTCTCCCTCTCTCTCTCTCTCTCTCTCTCCCTCTCTCCCTCCTTTCAGATGGTATTTATGAGTCAGCTTGACTGAAAATCTTTTGACCATGCTGGGAAAACACCCAGGTCTGTACCTCTGCCAGGGTTGGCAGGAAATTTTCTCTGGCCTCTGGCTCATGGAGATTAGAGTCTGACTGGTTTTCAGCAGCAGCCTTATATTATAGTGTCACAATGACTTAGTTAGCAGGCGTTTCACTTTTTGTTTCCGTTAAGTTAATAAAGTAGTTCTCACATACACCAGCAGGGGGAGCACTGAGCCCTGATTTACTTCAACTCATTATTTTTGTTAGATAAATAAATTTAAAAAAAACAGACTCAGTGGACAAATACGACGTCACAAAAGCAGTGGTGTTGCAAGCAGCTCTTAATGCCACTGTTGCCAAGTTATGTCCACACATACCAGAAATGCCTGACTAAGACAAATACCAAAGTGACATCACACAACAGATTTCTACAAATCGAATTATTTATTTTATATCTAACAGTAAAAAGCCGACAGCCTACATTCTGTCTTTATGATTTGATCAAAATTAATCAAATTATTAACCGAACTTAAATGGAGTCATAAAATGTGGGGAATACTGATAGTTATTTAAGCCATAGTTGATTTTTAGCAGCTTCAATAGTGTAGTGACCACATAATATTTTCTCTTTTGATTCTTACAATTTTGGAATTTTGCAATCTCTCCAAACTGTTGAGCCATGGTTCTTGTCCTTTCTGTCTTACTTATTTGGTGCGGATGTCTTTGTTTTGTTTGCTGCCAGGAGTAGATGAGCAGACCATCATTGATGTTCTAACGAAACGAACGTACGCCCAGAGAAGAGAGATTGCGTTTGCATTTGAAAGAAGGGCGAAGAAGGTACAGCAGACTGAGACACAGCTTCAGGTGAAACACTGCAGAGGTATTGGGACACAATAAATCTAACTTTTACTGCCTTTGCAGGATATGATCGCATCCCTCAAGGGGGCGCTCTCGGGTTCTCTGGAATCACTGATTCTTGGTTTAATGAAGAGCACGTCTCAGTATGACGCCTCAGAAATCAGAGGATCCATCAAGGTAAAGAACCTTGATCAGACAGATTACTTCAAACGCGTACACTGCCCTCTACTGGAGAAGAGGCTCACATTACCCCAGGATATTTCTGAATGTATCTGGTCTGATTTTTTTTCTGTCTTCTCAGGGCTTAGGAACAGACGAGGAAACGCTGATTGAGATTTTGTGCTCGCGCAGCAACAGTGAGCTGCTGGAGATTAAGACGGTTTACAAGGACCGTAAGTTACATCCAGTCGCAACATTTGCTTTACTGAAATAGAGGGATACAAAAGTCCAAAGACATCTCTGCTTTTGTGCATCTGTACAGTGATAAACGTGTTTTACCCCAAAGCTATATTTCTTAAGTCTGAGTCTGAAAGTCTTGATACTGTATTGATCTTGCAAAGTAAAGCCACACAGACTACAGTGCTGATACAAACAAAGACAGAAACGGTTCAGTAAAATATTTCCAACAGTGTTCAAGAAGGAGCTGGACAAAGACGTTGCCGGTGACACCTCTGGAAATTTTGCCAAACTTCTCTTGGCTTTGGTGCAGGTGAGAAATAATAAAAACCAAAAACATTTTTTACACAATTTTTCATTCAATACTGAGCTATATTGCACAGATTCTCATACTCACATTTTGTTTTAATGTGTTTACGTGCAAAATGTAACATCTAAAAATTTGTCATGTCCCCTCTGCAGTACCTCTGTCAACCCACTAGGTTTGAGACTTAGGCATGGAGTGTTGAGTAGTTAACACATCTTTTAACATAAACCATTTTGGTGTAATTGCTCAATCATTATGATTTTCATTGTATCAATATCTGTAATGAAAAGTTGAATGTTTAATTTAGATGTATTTAGTGGTGACGTTTTTGTAGACAATTATCTACAATGTATTGTAGTCTTGACTCATCAGCAGTTTTGGGGCTAATGGAGGAGATGGTTTAGCTGAAAAAAAAACAGGTTATTGATTTAGATCAAAGTAAATAAAAAAAAACGTTATTCTTATTTTCTGCCAAGAGATACATAATGTTTAATAACAAACAGAACACTGTCATTTCTCTACAGACCAAGAGGGACGAACCAGGCTCTGTTGTTGACTACGAGAAGGTGGATTCAGATGCCAGAGTAAGTTGACCAACTTAAAGTCGTGATATTTTTAAAATAAAATAAAATATTTTATTTTTTGAGGTTAAAGTTTTCAACTAAAATATTTTATTTTTTGAGGTTAAAGATTTCAACAGTGTTACATTTGTCCGTAATGTGTATTTTTTTATTTTACACATTGATTCATTAGGAATACATGTGAATATATGTGATTGACTTGTTGTCGCGTCTTAACTCAATCCAGGACACTATAAATCATGGAGTAGTGAATAAGACAAGAACGGTTTGCAGTCATGTGTTCCTGCTGTTTTGCTGTTGTGTTTCAGTTGTGGCTACAAATACATTTACATCTGGGTGCTAAAAAATGTTCTGTTCTTATTAGATGAATGTCTTGATTAGAACTGTAAACTCCAATTGTTTTGCCTTCACCCTGCTTTATGTCCCCTTTTAACCACTAGAGGGAGCGCGTGTACTGCAGTTGCGGTGCGGGACATTTTGGCGCAGCTGTGGTACAGAATCAGAGGTATAAAGTGTTTGTTGGTAACTTGTGTTTTGCTGATTCATCACAGGCACTCTACGAGTCCGGCATTAAGATAAAGGGCACAGATGTAGCCACCTGGATCTCCATTATGTCTGAGCGAAGTGTACCACACCTGCAGAGAGGTACAGCGACCTCTATTTTTAACGTTTTTTACTGCTTCACCACCCAAACAAAGTTAATAACTCTTTTTGACATTTCAGTGTTTCAGAGGTACAGGAACTACAGCCCGTACGACATGCAGGAGAGTATTACCAAGGAAGTGAAGGGAGACTTACAGAAGTCCTTCCTGGTACTAGGTACAACCGTCTTTGACCACTTCCTCCTACTGGCCATGACATGTATCACACCATTTGCAGAGACCCATTATCCCTAACCAGAAACATCAAGAGAGTTTAGTACACTTCATATAAAAACAAAAAGATAAAATCAGTTGTTTTAAATTAGGGCTGTCAAAAAATATAAATCACAGGGTAGCTTTGATTAATCACGATTATTCATGATCATGATATTAATCATGACTGTAGCCCCCACTGCATTTTTTACTTTTTTTTTGTTATAGCGTAGATAAAGATCTAATCTAATCCTGTTTGTACAGCATGTTAATCGAGTGTATCATTTGGTTGAGGAGGGAGGGCGACCTTGTTATACAACATGTATTTAACAATCACATACATGGTTTTAAAAATATCCACAAATATTCCCACTATCCCTAATTCAAGTTTTTGTTTCTTTCATTTTTCAGTTCAGTGCTTTGAAAACAAGCAGTTGTTCTTTGCCAACAAACTGAACGAAGCCATGAAGGTAGGCTCCAGTAGTGGACTTTGTGTTCTTCTTGAAATATGGCTCATGATGATGACGATAAGGTCTTTTATTTTTGGTTTGCTTTTTTGGAGCAAATGTTTGTTTTTTTTGGGGTTTTTTTAAGGCAATTATTTCTAAAAGTACAGTTTTGCTTCAGCAGCACAGAACCCAAAGTTAGCAGAAGTGTTTTCTTACAGCCGTGTTGCATCATGTGCTGGAGTTAAGTTTAGAACGTGTTTAACTTTAGTAAATGCTGACTCGTGTTTGTCTGCACAGAGTAAAGGAGCCAAAGAGAAGGTGGTGACCAGGATCATCGTGTCACGCTGTGAGGTGGATCTGAGAAAGATCTGTTCCGAATACAAGGCCAACCATGGACAGTCGCTGCAAAAGACCATTCTGGTAAGAATGAACAAACTCTGAACCCTGACTCTACCCATCCATCAGTCCATCTCTGACTTGCACTTTCTCTGCAGGAACACACTAAGGGAGACTATCAAAAGGCTTTGCTCAGCCTGTGTGGACCAGAGGTGTAACAAAAAATAGTCAGAAGCATTTTGTTTTCTTCCTTTTCTGCACACAAATATAGAATACACGTCATTCACGGTGATCACATGAAGAATCTGTACTTTTGTTCTACCAGACAGACAATAAAGTCGCGCTCTTGGAGTATTGTTTCTACACATGACGTGGGTTAATTTACTTGACGTACACTGGGGCATCCACTGGATGGCGCCAGAGTAACGTATATGCGCTAAAACCGTTGCAGACACGAACTTGTCAAATCTTTAACGTGATATAGAAAATAGGCACAATAAAAATGTAAATACAATTTCTATATAAGAATATTAAAACTCAAATGAAAAAAAAGAATTAATATTCTTAACACCCATGCTAATGAGTATATTGTATTATTATAAATTAATCATTTAAAACTTGGGGTAAAAGAGTAAAATAAAAAGTATGGGAGATTTTTCCCGCTACGAGGTTCCGTCAGGATGAGCTAATCATTAGTGTGTTTTTCCGTGTTTGTTTGGCGCTAATATTTTAATTAAAAATGTTAATTCTACCTCTGGCAGAGTTGATGATTTGCATAAGCACTAAACAAGCATCTATACAGTGTGTTTCTGCTGTTTAGTTTGCGGTCTCCCAGGATAA